GCCCAACAAATGAAAGACGCTGATTTCTTGCATGTGTCCCATTGCTGCAGAAATTACACAAACTGCAAATTTTCAGGTTAAATTACGTGTGTGTCGGTTTTATAAGGAGTGCCATGAAAATCTGAACACATATATATGCTTCACATTCTAGTAAGAAAATGCAGTGATGTTTCAGGAACAATAAAAAAGTATTAAATATTTTAACTTTAGAGAAAATAAAGTATTTTTATGGGCGAAACTCTGTTCTGTCTTCAGAAGTGTGCTTTTTATTTTTAATTATACAGTCAGCAGTTTAGAAATATGTGCAGTTTTTTTATTTAAATGTCCAATTTTAAATCCATTCAGTGAGAGGTACAGTAACTATTTAAAGCGAGTACTACGAATGTTAATATGCCTATCTTCTTATTCATTTTGATTGGTCACTCTCTCATTTCACTTACTTCAGTTTAAATTTGTACATTACTATTTAATGGGGGAAAGGATAATTATTACTTTTCGCCTAAATCGAAACACCATCTTTAAGGACGCAATACATTATTTTAGGACATTTAGGACCACCCACCTCCATCTACAGTGACAGGTGTTTGAGTTGCAGCGGTTGTTCCAGTAGGCCCTTCCCTGGAGAAGAGGCGCCAGATAACAGACTTTACTGAACCCGAACGGTGCAGTGAGCTGGCCTGGCTTCCTGTATTCATACTAGTAGCCGAACCAGCAGACGTCATGCGTTCTCGTGTGTTCACACGACTTATACTCCTTCTTTTTGGGCCAGCTGAGAACTGTATTCCACTCTGTGCATCATCATACTGCAAGACAAGATGATCTGAACTTGTTAAACATTTATTTAATATTAAACACTGCCATTTTGTGCTGTATTCACTCAGTGTTGAAACTGTGAGTTCACAGACACGTGACACATTTGTTTATTGGACGATGGAATTGTGTTACAGTGCGGCCAATATTTCATTGGATCTTTACAATCTCTTCCCCTATACAAAGAGATAATGTACAGTCTCAGTTACTGGAGAAGTGTCATTAATAAACTTATTGTAGCATGTGCGTGGGAAACTGGAACCAATTTAGGAAGGAAAGATCATATGAGAAAGTTACGACCACTGATAAAAAGAGCACGGTGGAAATATGACTCCAAGTAATAACTCAGTTTCTGAAAGACATTTCTGGAGGACATTTTTATTGCAGACTTACAGCATGATCGCCAATGTCATCAATCCTGATTGATGAAGCTGCAGAATACTCAGCTGCTGATTTGGGCACCTCGATGTTAGCAGTTGAAGGTTGGGGATGTTCTTCTCGGAACTGCTCAGCTGCAACTGTGTATGGCAACTGAGCAGGGAACACTTCATCCCAATACTGGTCTTTGATCAGTTCTGGGTGTTCATGATGCATTTCATCCACAATGAGATAAGAAACCTGAAACATAAACCACCAGATATCACACAATTCTTCTTTCTAGTAATTTTATTTTATCCTGTACCACGCTCCACAATTCTTGTGCACAGTTTCTGACAGCTGGAGTTCAATGTGGAACTTCGGCTTTCAGGTGAGAGCTGCGTCAAATGTTTGGTGTTAACCAACGTTTCCGCAAACTCCGCAGTTTTCCATTTTCAAGGTACATATGTTCCAGGGGCCTTGTAAAGGGCAGGGAGTGAGTGGAGAGATACATTTGATGCTGCTGTCCAATGGAAGAGAAGCTTGAGGTTGAGGAAATGAGGTGACAGAATTTTGAGAGGATGTGACAAAGCAGCTACTGGTGACCATGTTAGACAGGGAAAGATTTGCAGCAGTAAAGGGGAAAGGTGGTGACTGTTCATCGACCACAAAGTTTGGAGAAGTGGTGGTGAACCAGGCCCTTTGAGGGCCTGGTAAGGTCAGCAGTGATAACACAATGGAAGATTTCATTAAGGATAGTGACATTATCATGAAGGAATACATTCCATCCATTCCCACTTCATCACTTTCAGTAACTGTCATGTTGGTATGACCAGCTGTAGGAAATATTTGTATGAATTTGGAGTATACCTCAAAAGGCATAGTGTTCAAACCCAATTTCATGATAATCCATCCAGCCATTCTCAAGTCATTACATGCATATGGGTGATGACATCATCACATCTTCACAAAGGATCATGGGTAATGGAGGAATATACTCTCACCTTATGACTTTTAGCTTTCATCACATTGGTATTATTGATTGTAGAAAATAGGATCATGGCATACTACTCATTCCAAATATCATGACAGTCTGTTCTGCCCTTCTTGAGATGTACAGCTGGATGGAAAAAATTAACTTATAAGGATGCTGTGAACACACATAAAAAAGGACAAATCAATATTTTACCTTAATGTTTACTGCAAAGTACAATGCATTTCCTGGGTTTAGTTTTATCTTAAATAAATAATTTTTTATTGCCATAATTTTCAGCTACTTAAACCTTGACATTTTCAAAAGGTTTTTCATATATTCTTATATTTTGAGTTTTTCCTGTATTCTACTTTCACAACAAAACACTTGTTTAGTTCTCTCTGTGTTTCAGGACAGAGGGTGTTTGAAAGGAAAATGCTAAGAAGGATTTGGAGCCCAGTTAAAGTCAATGATGAGTGGAGGGTAAGATATAACCAGGAGTTATACGCGCTATATAAAGACCCCGATCTTGTAAAGTGCATTAAATTAAAAAGACTGCAATGGGCGGGGCATATTCAAAGGATGGATGGCACAAGAATCCGTAAGAAAGGCCTAAATACTAAGTTTGAAGGGACAAGAATGATGAGGAGACCTAGAGAAAGGTGGGAAGATGCTGTGAGACCAGATGCTGCCGGTCTGATCCAATGTCGAAATTGGAAAATGGCCGAAAATAATAGATATTCTTGGAGGCAGAAAATTGAGGAGGCCAAGGCCCGATATGGGCTGTAGAGCCATTGGATGGATGGACGGATGTGTTTGTGGACCATTCTTAGTGACTCCTAAGAGAACTTCTATGTTTAACTAAATAATACTTTTGTTTTTCGCTAGTGAATTAACCTAACCTCATCAGCCATGTTCCATTCAGTTCTAGTTCCGCCTAATTCTCTTGAACCTCACAAACTGCACATTCTCGAGGATTAAACACGCAATACTAATCTTAATAAATAATAGCCAATGTCTGTCACACTTGTGCTTAAATAATTTCAACTACAGCCATGAAAACATTTTTAAGGGATTCTCAGTCTTATGAATTACTTTATGACCATAAAACCGTATTCATGACCCACAGTTGCCCACTAATGTGAAAAGTCCTTGACAGTTATCGCCTCACGTGGAAATTTATTAGTTTCCCTTGCGCTGAATGAGTCTGGAAAATTATTGTGGGTGGCAAGTAAGGATATGTCAGGAAACCGTCACTGCCTAAACCGCGAAAACCTCAGTTATGACAGTTCCTGAATTCAAGTCCCAATGAAGACGGTTTCCGTAGCTCAAAAATTAAACATCATAAAAGAACAGCACAAAGACCAAAATTGTTTGCTTTGGCAAGGAGACGATGGGAACAAAGGTCACAATCCTGAAAAATGTGTCTTGGTTTGAGCCCAGGCTAAGATGGTTTCTGCAGCTAAACAAGTTCATTACTAGCTAACTAAACAAGACAGAAGAGTTGTGTTAAGAATTTTTGTAGATTTGTAAACATAAATTGAATTTCGATGCAGTAACAGTGCTAGTATATGAGATAATTACAAGTTAAAGAACATCATGTTCTGGGGTAAAGAATGAAATAGTAATTAAAACAGAACAGATGAATGATTACTTTCCAGGTCTCGGACAGACATACAAAATCTGGTCTGCTGGCCATCTCTCTCTCCCATCTGCATTCTCACTTACCTGTAGGTTCCTGTCTACCAGCCAGTTTACTTCAAAATCATCATCATCTTCTCCAAATGGATTAATTAAACTCTCTGCCACTTTCAGCCATCCCATGTAGAAGAAGAACTGAACAAAGTGAAAAATAGACTTTGACATATTATTTCACATGTCAACATTTCATTATAACAACAACAGAAACCATAAATAATTTTAATTTACAGAAACTTAACAAAATAATACATTTTAAATTGTTAAAGATACTGCTCAAACCACTATTTACTTTTGTCAGAGTAATTCTTGATAAAACGTGAAACAGAAACATGGCTGTTGCACGAAACAGCAACGACTACCAGGATTCAAACACACGACCATCTGCGCAAGTTCAATTAAACACCACAGAGCTCTTATGCATTTAACTTTATTAGACCAGTGCATCCAGGTAAGGAATACGAACTGCACATCCAAAAGGCACTTAGTGCGATGTAGCAGCATGCTGAACTACACTTTCATTAACGAAGACCCCAAATTTAACGCGGCTACGAACACAGGAAGGACTCGGCTCCGTGAAAGTGAATGTCTACGGCAGAGATTGAAGTCTGATATGACAATCCATTTAAATCTACTACAACAGTTTCCGGAGATACAAATTTTACAACTTCTGTAAAGTACAGTGGGTGTCCTCTTTTCTGTAATATTTGCCACAGCTTATTGCTGCTGTCCTGGTAAAATGCTCTTTCATAATCAATATGAGTTTCTAAGTTAAATTCCATTTTATATTACTTATTACTGTTATTTATTTATTATTTTGGTAAATATTATATTCTCCTTTCATTTATTGAGAATTACAGTACATAATTAAAATGAATCATTCACAAAAGAGCATTGCAGATGATAACCATACATGAAAAATGATGATCTTCCCAGAGACATTTCACTTTTACAGGTCATATAAACACACAGAAACTAGTTTACTGATATTTGGATATTCATTAACTCCAAGGTAAGAGTTACATGACTTCAGGGTATGATACTTTCATAAACTAAACCTTGTAGATCTATGGTGTTATCTGCATTCGAATATGGAGTACATTTTTATTCAGAATACTTCTTGCTTGTAATGCTGTGAACATAGGGAAAAACATAAAGAGAACAGTCGTGCAATTTACCTGAGTATACACCAGGGGCACACTGATGGAGTCATAGCTTAGCAAAAGGCCGCACTGTCCACGAAACTTGTTCAGTTCGTCGATGATGGTCTTCACTGCAAAGTCATCTCGTATCCTGCCTTCCTTTCTGGCTCTCGTCACTATGCTCGCAGCCCATACGATGGGCAGCCAGTGTTTAGTATGCCTTGGGAATTTATTGTTTAAGTCATTCATTATAGACTTTTCATTTTCTGTAAGAAGACCAGCTTCAACAAAGTGGTCCAGTGTTGGAAATCGTTTCTTAACTCTCGGACTGTTCATGGTGAATATCATGGTTAAAGAAAGGCAGACATATCGCATGATTGTCCGACGCATCACGCGCCCACGCTCATCCTGGAACACAAGTGCACTTCGTGAAATATACTCACTGGTTTTGATATAATATAAAAAAAGTCTTATGACTTGTTTCAAAGACAAAATTAGAAGATTAAAAATAATCAATAATACTGATAAATATAAACTAAATGCTGTAGCTGAGTGGCTTCAAATTTCAGTCCAGACTGAGGTTTTTCATGGTTCCACTCAGATCCTTAAGGCAGATGCTGGGACAGCATCACCAATTACCAATTTCCTTCTGTATGCTTTGTAATTCAGATAAACCAATGGCCTTATTCTGGGTTATAGAGCTGTGTGGTCTGGTAGAAGTTTACCAATATTTCAGAGGACTCTGAGCCAACAAGGACCACTGAATTTTTGGTAAACGTATTTCAGACTTCATGGTTCTACAACCCAGAAGACAGACATCTTCGTACTCACCACTGCAGAAACCTCAGATCCTACATATTACTAGAAGGTTATCAAATCAACTGCAGAAACTTTATCCAAGGACACAGCCAAATTTGCGGAGACCAGGATTGCAGATGGCAGTCAGTGAATACAAAAAAATGTAAGAACATGGTTCATTTACCTGCCCGTGTATATTGGAGCTGACAAACACAGCTATAGAATCTGGCCATGGGATACTGACGTACTGATTCCACCACCTTTGCATCACAATTGAGACATAAAAACCAAGAACAAAGGATAATGGAATGAGATCACTGTAGCTTTCGCAGTACTTCACCACGCCCTCAAACACCCTGGAACATACGACACAGACACAAAATTCAGATACTGGAAAGAATTAGCACACAAAACAAAAGAAAGTATAAAAACCAGTATAATTCTGACTGTAACTTAACACAACATTTCACTCACCCCACAAAAAATGCTGCTGGAAATCTGAACTTGTGACATCTAGATTGAGCTCATACAACTTACGAAGCTGCACTATAAAGCGCAGATTTCAAATTTCAGTATGATACAAAACACATCGATAATAAAATTAAATTCTGTCTGCCTAAACCACAAACCGCTGGCCTTGTAATCCTGGGGTCTCGGGTTCGATTCCCGGCGGCGCCCGAATTTATAACTTGTGTTGGGCAAGGCCGTGGTCTAGGCAACATGGAGTTTTCCTCCGTGGCATCCCAACAATTACTCCATTCACACACAGAAGAAGGCAATGGCAAACCACTTCTGGATCATCTGCCAAGAACGTATATAAACAGGTCCCAGTCCGAGAAAAGGATGGAAGGATCCTGTTTATAATATGTCGCCAACCTCCTGTAAAGGAGACGGCGTAATAAAGAAAAAACCACAAACAAGTCATAGAAACAGGATGTCTAGTTTGTATGCATGTCTGTCTGTTGTGTGACATAAGTAACTAACGTTGTGATTCGGAAACACAAAAGTTCAACACCACTGTACCAAAAATCTCCATTGTACATGAATCTGGGCCAAATTGAAAACATGTCCACCAAACGTTCATTTCAGTGTAATCCTCCCACCTCCTTCTTGTCTTCCAACATAATTTCTCCAACCTCAACCTCCCAAAAGTGTGCGCATTCCTTGTTTCTCCCATCTTATCCATGTGCTTATACTACTGCATGGGAGAATCTCAGTTATCTTGGAGAGATGACATTGATATGCAGAAATGTAAAGTCCAAGTTAATAGTAACACAGGAATTGATCTGAAAAATCTGTGACAACCACTGGCCGGACAGGCCTTTCCAGCATGGCTGGGGTGTAGGTGACTTCCTCTGGTCCAAGTCGGATGGTACAGCCACACTTTCTCTCCTTCCTGGAATCTCAAGCAATTGGACAAACAGTCGTAGTGGGCCTTCATCCTTTCGATGACACCTTCAAATGCTGACGGTTATAGTAATGAATGTCATGTAGCTGATTTACGAGGCCCACTACTTTGTCGGTCGAAGACTGTACCTCGTCAGAGGAAACCTGGACAAAAAGTCACCAGGTAGACGTAGCTCCCATCTGAACAGAAGCAACATGGGTAACCTCTCACTTCGTGACCCCAAAATATTCTTCCGAAGGTCTTCCATGGAGTTCTGCCAGCCCTTCCTTCACCTTGCTCCTGTGAAAGGCTCTTTGGGCTGTCTTAGTTCCACTATCAGCCCACTCCCAGTTATGCTCTAGCATGCCTTCTCTCCCCGGGCTCTGTCCTTCCATTCAAGGCGTTGCCCAGTTTCCGCTACAAAAATTAATGACCGGTCGTTTCCGGCGTCCTTCCTGTCCTTTGTCTCCGATGTGGCGATTGGTATTCGTTTTCTGAGCAGTCTTCGATTCTAACAACTTTGCTTTCATCGATGTCAGCTGCTAATCTCTGCAATTCAGCGAGCCGATGCGAGTACGTCTCGCTTAACGCCCACTAGCAACTAGCCGCGGCTTGGAAATTGACTGTGTTACACTGTCCACGGTGCGACCGGTCACGCCAGCTCAGTCCGCAAATCCTTGGCTTGTTTTAAACTGATAAATCATTGCGTTGATTGGCGCATTTTTCATCACGGGGAGGATTCAGAACTACCAGCAGTGTCTAGGACGACATATTTATGTATCGACGAAGCATCGTGGGTAACCAGACGACGTACGCTGGAAATAACAGCTCTTGCAGTTGAAGGAAAGACTCCAACAAATCACGAAAGACTTCCGATCATAACACCACCTGACGTTTACAATACTAACTGCTTGGAAAACATTCCGAAAAGCAAAGAACGTTGGAATTGTCTGCGTGACAAATGGTCCAACGTGAAGTTAAAAAAGGTTGAGTCCATCAAAAATGAACAGAAGTCTGTTTCAAAGCCATTTTAATTGGCACTGACAACAGGGATAAACATAAATTCACCTTTTGGCATCGCCATGTCTGTCTGTCTGTCCACGTGTAGACACGTTCCAAAATTTGCTCAAAATAAATAAAGGGTTATTTTTATATTAAAACCTTCCGAGAGAAAAGACTTATCTCTTGGGGAATCCCTGGGTGGGGAATCCCTGTGACGACACAAAGTAGACAAACGTCAGAGACCTCTGACATTAATTTTGAAAGTCAGAATCGCTTTGCTATGCACACTAATGTGAAGTTGTTAATCTTTCTATGTGTTCGAAGAAACACAAGTACACATTTTACAACACAATTCTAATTGTTTATTAAGTTTTTTTATTCTGAAGAATTCTGTAGTACTTAAATGAGTATTTTTAAACTTTTTATTTTTAATATTCTGTGCTACTCTATCATAGCCTGTGATTATTAGTTAGCAGGAAACTATTTTTTTCTGTGCTGATGATACGCTGGCGAGCTATCACTTGAATTTTGATTCATAGACTTACATTACAAAGATATTAGTATCTGTTATTAAACGCCTATGAACTTACGACAGTAAAATAAATATTATGGAGGGAGACGAGAATATTAAAAACACATTTTAACACCAATAAAAGTGGAAAAATTGTGATGTTTAAATTCCTGTGGCATCCTTGGAAGGTTTTTACGACACCCGCGTTGCGAACCGATGACTCAAATACATTATCTAACACGAGTAAAACCAAATTTCGTTTCACATATTTAAAAACTTGTTTGAGACTTGTTCTCCTTTGCTCTTGACAGAGATGAGACTAAGTTTCTGCAATTCCGAACATCAAACCTTACATGGCACCATCCCTAGCATTCATCACCAAAAGAAATACGTCCACCAAGAAGCACCAAGTCTTAAAACTCACTTCTTTTGGTCTGGATCCAGGGAGAACCTGTAGATGAAACTAAGGGTGTAGTAAACGAGCAGAAACATGACAAGGTCAGGCCACACCAGCTTGTAGATACTGCCTCGCCATCTGCAACAATTGATACGCTGTTACAACACATTCAGTATTTTGACAGGGCATATTTCTGTAAATACATCATTAGCCAACTCATTCATCCTAACCTCACTTTTCGTAACATTTTTCTTCACCTAAATCAAAATTTGCTTAATAACTTGTACTCGAGTGAAATTGTGAACGAAAATTTAAGCACAATTTTGGGAAAACCTTCAACTACTACTTACGAATCATTAATGAAATCATACAGACAATATTTTGATTAATTTCTTCCAAAAACCCAACTATCCGTAATTTTTTTTTGTCGGAAGTTTTTAAGAAGTAATATTCAAGACTTGCTCAAAATATCTGACAACTTCATCTGAGTACAGCTTCACCAGAAGTCATAAAATGATCTTCCCCGTTATTAACCTTTCCAACATCAGCTGTTTCTGTCTAGCGGCCATTATCTATTTTGAAGAGGGTCCATAACTACCCACAATGCACGCAGAAACAGGACAGACTCACTACGTTGTCATTAATACCAACTGAGAAGAAAATATCCCAGACACAGAAACAGCTAGGCAGTCTGACCCCGTGAAAGATAATTTTCACTGTAATAAACCGTCGAATGTAAATGCAAAGACGAATCGTCAGCCGTTTTTCTTAATTTAAATTTATTTCCGCTTTAAAAACAAATAAAGCTGTCCCACTATACGCCATATAGGCGTTTGGGGGGAGAGGTGGTAAAGCTCCTTCTCATTCAATCTATGAACAAAGGCAGAAAGACGACTCATTTTTCAAACAAATCTACGAAGATAAAGGTGTCCAATGCGACTGTTACCTACGCTTGCAGACTTGGGAAGTGAAATATCACAGTTTGAAAACTTCAGCCATTGCGAAATTAATTATGAGAAAGGAAGCGACTCCGACATTCTCAAATTAAAACGACAGAGGATATGACATAAGGCCGTTTTCATTTCGATTACGTCAGCATGGCACCGTAGCAATATTATTTCACGAGGATGTCATCATAAATGAAAGCTAATCGACAAAATGTGTTTTACGAAATATGGGCAGAACGCTGGACCGTAAAGTTAGCACTAATGCTCGATATTCATGAGATCCCTGGATCATATCTGGGGCTCGAACACCGACTACCCTGACTGAGGTTCTTCGTGGTACTCCTCAGTCCACAGGCATCTGCATCCTTTCCAATTCATTAATCCACGGGCGTCCCAACATTAGATGCAATGTAATCTGGGATACTGGCTGTCTGTAAAACGTAAAAACTTTTAACAATGCTCGTACGGTAACGTTTAGGAGCAAGGAGTTATATTTTGTCCGCGGATGAGTCCGTTCGTTACAGCGTCTCGTATCAGCGATCCCTCAAGGCCAATATCACTCGGTGATCCCACATAATTACCCCATAATTGTTAATAACTAGCTCACCGTCACTTACAGAATGCAACACAAGTCAATGTGTGTCCAAAGTGGTTCATACCAATTCCTGCACTTGCTTCGCTAAGCAAACTAACAAGAATTTTAATTCCTCCAGAAGACGGCGCGGAGAGTATTTTAAAATAAGTAATTATACCACAATGTCATAAGACTGTACATAACCTCAACAGTTACCATCGCAATGCAAGAATAGCGAATTAAGACAAACTCCTCAACAGTTACCATCGCAATGCAAGAACAGCGAATTAAGACGAACTTAAAATTTGTAACTGTACGAGACGAAGATAGCCACGGTGGTCTAGCGGATAGAACGCTGGCCTTGTAATCCTGGGGTCTCGGGTTCGATTCCCGGCGGTGCCCGAATTTATAACTTGTGTTGGGCAAGGCCGTGGTCTAGGCAACACGGAACATTAAACAAACGCATAATAGGAAGGTCGTATACTTCACCAGCTTAACTACTGAAATATATATAAAAAAACTTGCTGTGCATTCAGAGTTTCAAAACGAACTTAATTTCGGACCACATCGGCCATTCTACACGAAGTTCAACTCGAATTTTGTAGATTTTCTAGAATATGCCGGTGTCACATAACACAGCTTTCTGTTACATTTTTTTTTT